GGAAGGAGCCAGAGACCTACCCACCAGTAACCTACTTCCTCCAGCTAGGTCTCACCTCCTGAAGTCTTTGTAATTTCCCAAAATAACATCACAATTGAAGACCAAGCATTCAACATGTGAGCCTATGGGGTACATTTCATATTCAAACCATAACACCAACACAACACTATATTGAGGCCACGTATTCTGTTTACTACCTACCCTGTTCTATTTCTAGAACAAGGGTTTTGCACCAGGCCACGAACTACTAGCCTGGCACTGAGCAGGCCCAGAGGCTGAGTCTACATAGCCTACCCAGGTGCTGGGCAGGCATGGAATCAGTATCCACAAATGTTGACTTAGATCTGGGGTCTGTGGGGCCTGGCTGGTGCAGAAGATAGCCTGGATCCTTGGGACATTGGGACCAGCCTGGAAGTGGGGCACATCTGGAGCCTTGGAGGATCCACAGCCTGAATCTGCAAGGGCTAGGGTGGCCTTGGAAGTTGGTTCTGTGGATGAAGCCTGGGGTTGCAGGGGCCAGACAGTGATGGGGGCAGTCTATAGCCTGGGGTTTGTAGGAGCCATCCTGACCCTGGGGCAGCTGTAAGAGACCAAGTCTAAGGTGTTGGTTGGCCTAGAAGCTGGGCTGGTCTAGAACCTGGACCTGCTGAGGCTTGCTTGGCATGGAAGCCTGTCCAGAGGGCCTGGAGACACAGGGTCTGTCCTGGAGCCTGAGTCTCTGGCCCAGTGCTGGGGCAAGTCAGGAATGTGGGGCCAACAGATGGACCTGGGTTATGGGAGGAATAGGAGACCAAGTCCACTGTGCTGACATAGTGCCAGGATGGGCTTGAAGGCTTTGTCTACAGGTACTGGTCTATTGCCTCAGGTATGGGAGCCTGCTCAGCACTGGATTTTACTCATGTAGACAGGTGTTGAAGCCTAAGGTGCCAGTCCAGTGCTCACTTCCCCCATGCAGAGGGTGTTTCTCTCCACACTGTATCACCCAAAGTTAAGGGTAACACAGGTAAAATTAAAACCGTCCTTCACTTCAGTGTGCCTTTTCTCCTTTCTGTGCAATACTCAGTTGCTGTCATCTCTCACCTGCTTCTCTTAACTCTTGTGAAGGTATCTGTTCAAATTGCTATTTCCATGAGGTTCTGAGTGTTGGAAAGTCTTGTTCTGACATCTTGCTGATATCATTCCCTAAACAGAGTGGAAGAATTGGAAATATGTGCTACAAGATACTAACACGCTACTTGCAAAGGGGGACAGTGTTACCAGAAAGTGTTATTTGTTGAAAATGTGTACAGCAAACTCTAGAGCAATCACTTAGCATCTTTTTTTCCTGCATTTTATTGTACAAAATAATGGGTTTAAATGATTTTTCACACATGTATTATCACATTCTCCCCATTTTCCTCTCAGCACTCTTCCTCTGGTCCCTTTCCTTTTCCCAAATTGTCCCTGTTCTCCTGTGTCCTTTCTTAAAATCAAGATTTTTGCCTATGAGAGAAAACATGAGGAATTTGTCTTTCTGAGCCTGGCTTATTTTGCTTAACATGATGATATCCAGTTCCATCCATTTTCCTGAAAATGATGTAATTTCAATCCTCTTATGACTGAATAAAATTCTCTAGTGTATATATACCACATTTTCTTTACTCACCTGTTGATGGGCACCTAGGCTGATTCTATGGCTTGGCTATTACAAATAGTGCTGCTATAAGCACAAGCGTGCAGGCGTCAATTGTATGCTGACCTTGGATTCTTTCTGGAATATACCCAGGAATGGTATAACTGGATCATGGTAGTTCAGTTTTTAGTTTCTGAGGTGGTCCACTGGAGTCTACTACAGTAGCTGGACTGACTTACATTCCTACAAATAATGCGTTAAGAATTGGTTCCACCCCACCCTGAGACCCGCTGCATCCTCACCAGTATTTGTTGTATACACACACACACACACAATGTATATGTTATTATGCTTGTATTTGGAACTGTCCTGTATATGAGAGAAAACATGCAAATTTGTCTTTCTGAAGCTGGCTGGCCTACTTCACTTAACATGATGTTCTCCAGTGCCATCCATTTACTACATGACAAAATTTCATTCTTCCTTATGACTGAATATATATATTAAGGATTTCCTAATCCTTTCATCAGTTGTAGGGCACCTGGGCTGCTTCCATAGCTTGTCTATTGTGAATAGTGTCACAATAACTATGAGTATACAAGTGCCTTATTATAACCTGACTTGCATTTCTTCAGGTTTATCCCTAGGAGTGGTACTGCTGGATTATATGGCAATTCTATTTTTAGTTTTTTGAGTAGCCTCCATACTGTTTTCCATAGTGGTAGTGCTAATTTACATTCCCACCAACAGGCTTTTCTTTTTTGGTGCTGGGATCGAACCCAGGGCCTCACGCATGCTAGGCAAGCGCTGTACCACCGAGCTACATCCCAGCCCCCAACAGGCTATCTTTATTTTATGTTTTTGACAATTTTGTCAAAAATTAGGTGGTTATAGTTGCATGGATTTATGTCTGGGTCTTCTGCTTGTTCCATTGGTTTTCATTTCTGTTTTTGTGTCAGTACCATGCTTTTTCATTACTATGGCTCTATCATATAGTTTGAAGTCAGGTATTGTGATACCTCCAACCATTGCTCTTTTGGCTTTGGCTATGTGTGGTCTTTGTGTTTACATATGAACTTTAGGGCTGATGCAAGGAATGTCATTGGAATTTTGATGAGCATTGCATTGAACATACATTCAACTTGGTAGTACAGCCATTTTCATGATATTAAACCTGCCAATCCATGAAAACAGGAGAACTTTCTATCTTCTGATATCCTTAATTTCTTTAGTGGTTTATAGTTTTCATTATAGAGGTCTCGACTTTTTATTCCTAGATATTTTATTTTGGGGGCTATTATAAATGGAATTGCTTTCCTAAATTCTTTCTCAGTCTGTTCATTGTTGGTATATAGAAAAGCTACTGGTTTTTGTATATTGATTTTTGTATCCTGTAACCTTCCTGAAGGTATTGGATGTCTAGGAGGTTTTGGTGGAGTTTTTAGGATCTTTTAGCTGTAAGATCATAGCATCTGTAAATAGGGATAATTTGACTTCTTCCTTTCATATTTGAATGCCTTTTATTTCTTTCTCTTGTCTTATTGCTCTGGTTAGGCATTCCAAAACTATGTTGACTGAGAGTGGGCACTCTTGTTCTCTCTTAAAATCTTTTTTAAAAAGTGTAATTTGGGGGTAGAGGTGTAACTCAACAGTACAGTATGTGCTTAGCAGGCACAAGACCCCCAAGGAAAAAAAGTAGTATAAGTGATATGGTAAGAGATAATTAAACATTTTATGATTTCACTTTAAAACCATGAAAGGCAAGAAAGGGGAAGATTAAAAAGCATGTAACCTACAGAAAATAATTATGCATATAGGTAGTTATTATTTCTACATTAATAATCACGTTGACTTAATCACTATAAATGGTCTAAACAGAACAGCAAAAGACAGTAAGCTAGAATTTTAAAAAACAACAATGAAAAACAAGATCCAATTACATATCAAAATACTCATTTTAAATGTAAAGATATAACTAGATTAAAAGTAAAGAAATAAAGATGATAAATTATATTAGAAGATGCTCAGTATTGTATGTTATTGGAGGGCTGAGAACTACTATACACCTTTTAGAATTAAAAAATAAACAACAATACAAAATGGTGCCATGCATGTGGAACAACAGGAACTGTCACGCATTGGTATAACCACTTCAGAAGATAGTTTGGCAGTTTCCCACATAGCTGAAAATAGTTTTATATAGAAACAAACAGACCCAGAGATTTGTAGTTTTCAACTCAACTGAGTAAATACCACCTACACACAAATGTTTATAGCAGCTTTATATGTATTGCCCCAAATGGGAAGCAACCAAAGATATCCTTCAATAGGCAAATGGACAGACAAGACTGTGGCACATCCACACATGGGATACTACTAAGTGAAACAGAAATGAGCTACCAACCCCCAAAATACATAAAGGAACCTCCATGCTTACTGCTAAATAAAAGAAGCTTGACTGAAATGGCTATCTATTATATGATTCCAACTATATGAGATTCTGGAAAAGGCAAACTATCAAGACACAAAAACGATTGGTGGTTGTCAAGGGTTGGGGGACCTGAAGGAGGGATGAATAGGTGAAGCACAGGGGACTTTCTGGGCAATGAAACAGTTCTGTATGATGCCGTAATAGTGGATGCATGGATGACACATTTATCCAAACCCATAGAACCTTGCAGCACAGTGTGAATCTTAATATAAATCATGGACTTTAGTTAATATTACATCAATACCAGTTTGTGATTTATAACAAATGTAGCACATTAATGCAAGATGCTAATAAAGGAAACGGGGGGCGGTGTGAGTACATGGGAGCTCTCTATACTACTGGCTCAATATTTTCATAAATCTAAAACTGTTTTAAAAAGTGAAGCCTCTGATAATTTAAAAAAATACAAATTAGTGAGATGAATGTCAGGTTATTATAAAGCAAAAGCTCAAAGAAGGCAGCAGCTACCATAAAGAAAAAGTTTGAATTTCAAAATTCTATTACTTTTCAACTTGTTAATGACCCAGTATTATTTTAGTTTAATATATACAAAGATAGAATTCAGCATATATGGGTTAATGTACACTAAACTGTGCTAAGTGTATGTTGCTATGGATTCAGCATACTCTTTGTCATCCCTCACCATCACAAAGAAGTTCTGTTCCCAGCTCAGCTCCTATACCAGTGTCAGCACTTCCCTCGACAAGCATTAAACCTATCCAGACAAGGTACAGCAAGGTGAGTTCTTACCCAACTGTGCCTTCTCTGTCTGGCCCCCTACTACCTCCCATTTTGCTATAATGGCTTCTGCTATATAAGGGGCTTAGTAAATATTTGTGAATGAATAAACTTCCTAATAGCTCAAAAACAGTATCAGACCAATCTACTTATATAGTGCAAACTACGATAAAACTCAAACAACACTTATTTTTCTTTTTCATCTGTATTTCACAGCATGGACATCACATTGCCTTCAGAGAAAGGTGCTTTTACACCATTATATTTTACTATTTACTACACAGGCATTAACATTCTCATTAACAAGATGAGACAATATGCTGGTAAACATTTAAACACACACAGACATTGGTTTCAGTATCTCAAGAACATATTTTTGGTCATAACCAAGGAAACACATCAAAATATGACATTTGCTAATATTTTACAAGCAAATAATATTTAACTCTGCATAGTTTATACAATAGGCTGTGGCAATAAATAGTATCACCAATCTCATCAACTACTAACTGGCCGCAAGAAGCCTAGCATTCATTTTAATTGGTATGAAATGCTTTATTGGTATAGTTTCAACATAGCCTCAAATGTTATAGGTGTTTAACCTTGAATATATGAAAAGAAAAAGTACTAAACTGGATTTTTGGTTAACTACAAATATGTCATGGTCACATATTACATTCCTAACATGAAGGCAAATGTTTAAATAGAAAAACTAGCAGTTCAAAAAATGTGAATGTGCAAATTGTGAGGAAAACATTGCATTTAAATTTGCACTCATTTTCAAGTTACAGTACTAGCTCAGTATAAACACTAACAGGAAAAATATTCAGCAGGAAAGAGTGGAAATGACCTCTCACACAGCAAACTGCACTGCCCCATAGCTAAGAACATTTTTGTGGTGATATAGAGCTCCTAACACCTTATGACTACCCTTCACTCAACAGAGAAGAAAACTGCAGGCATGCTTCAGTCAGTGGTAAGAACAGGAAGAAAAAAACCTGAATCAGCAACATTTTCTTCCTTAATTTGGTGTAAAGGTCCTGCTCATTATTTGAACTTACTGTTAGCTACCCTCAAATGTTTCCTGAATCAGGTTTGCTAGATGCTGTAAAGGACAACTTCCCTTCATACAGACAGGGTTGATTACAATGAGACATGCACATGACTCTAGCAACCTGGGTCAGCAACACTCAGCCTGGGTCAGATTCAAATTCTACAGAGACTCTCTGTATTGTTTTCAATGTGTGAACGACTGCTTGGGAAGCAAAACTGCCTACTTCCTGCTTTATGTTTTTAATTGGTATGTATATAAAAATAAACCCCGGTCTTTAGAGAATGTCAAGGATTCTGGTAGGGATGTTAAAAGCATTGGGCAGAACCCTGGTTTTCAATGTGCCATCTGCACCACAGGAGAAGAGCCGGTTGTCCTGGCTGATGTCGATCTGCATGACTCCAGCTCCAATGTTTCTGAATATGGACTGCTTAGCATGTTCATTCTTAAATGAATGAATTAGGCCATGGCCTGTCAATCTCCAAACCTGGTGTAAAAGGAAAACAAACACTGCAACTCATTAAAAAGAGAGATGGAAAGAAAGAACATGGCTCCTAACTCATCTCCCCAAAGCCTACCTTTCCCACCCAAGGGGCAGTAATGACACTTGCATGATTCATTAACTGTCCTTATACTTACTGATTTTTCTTTCCACATACACTTGAAGTTTCACACTAGCCAGATATATCCTATCTCAATTTCAATCAGATATGTTTCTAATGCTAAGCTAGGCCTTAGTGCATAAAGAAGTATGGTACTATCTCACTTCTCTAGAAACCTTACCTCAGCCATGTAATTGTCAAATCCTGAGGATATAGGTGGGGATAATGGTGTAAGGAGCTAAACTAATGTCATTTTTTAAAAATCTATTAAAATTCACACATGTTGAAGGGGCTGGAGCTCAGCAACAGAGCACTTTCCTAGCATGCACAAGGTCCTGGGTTAAATCCCCACCATCACGAAAACCCCAAACACTTTAAACAGAGTTCTTTAAAGATTTTTTATTTTTCTTGGTGCCGAGAACTGAACCCAGGGAGACTTCCTAGCGAAGTGCTCTACCAGCCCCATCCCCCATCTTTAAAGACATTTGGTACTCGACAAAGCTTTACTCTAGGCCTTCATTTCAAAGACTGCAGTGTTTTGATTTTCTTTTTTTCAATCAGCCTTGACAACAGATAGAGATGATACTTAGCACATCCAACCTTTTGTAATGACTCACCTTTATGTTACCTTCTGCTGAACCTGTGGTAAAATATTCCTCACAGGGATCCAGAGCCAAAGCCTTAATAGCTGAGTCGTGTGCCTGGAATGTGTGAATTAGCTGTCTCTGTCTGATGTCAAAAATGCAGATGTATCCTTTTCTACCTCCAGAGATTAGGAGTTGCTGTCTGGGTGCATACTGAAGCACCGTGGCACCATGATCATGGCAGGTGAAACCTAAAGAAAACAAGAGACTTCCTAAAGGACTTCAGTCTTGGCAAGTCCCACATTAAAAAATGTAGAAGTTCCTGATGCATTTTTTCACTAAGTGTTATGGTTTGCATATAAAGGGTACCCTGCTGGTGGATGCGATATTTAAAGGTAATAAATGAAGGCATCACTGGATTTATAATTTGATGGCATTACTGGAGGTGGGGCCTGGCTGGAGGAAGCAGGTCACTGGCATGTGTTCTGCTACCTTTCTGTGGTTCTCTCTTTCTGTCCACCATGATGTTCTACCTCACCCCAGCCCAGAAACCATGGAGTCAGTCAACTGTGGACTGAAACCTCTGAAATTATGAGCTAAAATAAATTCTTCCTCCCTTGTTTCTTTCTGTCCAGCATTTTGTCACAGCAACAAAAGGTATGACTTGAGGTACACATATGACTGAAGAAAAATGCTAAGCAATGTTAGAAAAGGTATATTTAAACCTTAAACTCTAAGTTATGTTGTCTAATAGGTATGTAGAAGCAGCAGGTATGGAAGTACCACACTGAAACCCATTAATGTGTAGTAGGTACTGCTAATTTTAAGATTTAAGCTTCTCACTGCATACTCAATAACAGGTATTTACCTGAGCCTTGTGCTGTCCCATCAAGTAGGTAACTAAAACTCAACTATGCTTGTGTGAACATCTTCAGTTATAAAGTAGGAGTTCTCCTCCTCCTGTGGTTTGGATAAGTATCCCCAAACGCCCATGTGCCTATGGTGCTGCAGGAGGTGATGGAACCTTTGAGAGATGGGGTCTAGTGGAAGGAAGTTAGGACACTGGGAGTATGTCTTGAAGAGGATAGTGGGACCCCAGACAGCCCTTTCCTCCCTGCCTGCCCATGCAGTGTGCAGCTTACTCACCATAGGCCCAAAGGTAAAAGGACAACCCATCCTAGACTGAAACTTCTGAAACCATGACATAAAATTATCTCTTCTCTGTGTAAATCAATTATTATCTCAGGTATGTGTTACAGTAATGGAAAGCCGACTAACGTACTTTTCCAGTTTTCTTGCAGTTAGGGATTGAGCAAGGACCTAACACATGCTAGGTAAGAGCTCTTTCAAATTTGGCAAATCTTTAAACAACATTAACAACTGTTTGCAGGAAAAACAATTTTGCACCCAAATAAAATTGAGAAATAACTGCATCTTTCAAAATATATATCAAAATATTACAAGACTAAGAAATCTTTGTTTAAAATCTACTTAGCTTTTTCATACCATGTTTTCTCAACAGAATAACAAAGACTACTCTAGTTGGAATTCTATGACCACATGTATTTACTTTGGTGAGGCAACCAGACGTTCTGAATATTTTTCCATTTTCAGGCTGCAAATAAACACTGTATTCACTAATTAAAATAAAGCCAGGACAGCATTCCTTTAACTCACCATGGATGAGGCTGTTTCCAGGTGATATCAGTGTGTCCCAGAGGCATACATTTCTTTTAAAGGAACAGCAAAAATACATCATAAACAACTATTCTGTCTTCACATTAGTTTACTCACATTTATAGAGCATAGATTCTCAACTGTCAGCCTATTTCACAAGGTCCCACCTGTCAATGCCTCCCCAAACTCCATCTCTTTTTCACTACCCAGGGAAATGGTGAAGTGACTTCCTGAACAGAAGGGATGCTTCTATGTCCCAAGCTAGTAACAACTGCAGGGAAATCAGAGATGTTATTCATAGGCACGTGTTGCCGATGCAAACCATGTGAAGCAAAGAAAATGCTGAGTGATGTGTACACAATGTCAAATGTTTGTTAGTTCTGAGAAACCTAACAGTATTAACATAATTTATTTTTTCTCTTTTTGTTATGGAAAACCATTCTAAGAGTTATGTAACAACTTTTTTTTTAATTCTTGGGGTAGAACAACCCTACTAAACAGAAACCCATATTTTCTGCTTCTCCATTAACCTACCTATTGTCATTGGACTGTCCAGATGTTGCAACTAGACTTGAAGAGGTAATAAAGGCAAAGTCACTTGTGGCTTTACTGTGGCACTGCCAACTCTAGGAAAACAAAGTACAAGTGATGTTATCTAAACCAGCACCATCTACTATGGTACAAACAGTTCTGCTACAGTTTTTAAGAATTGGTTCTACAGTAAAGAGTGATAGAGGATTAGCAGATATTTGCACATTATTTTGCTAATGTCCAATAAGTTTTAAAACTAGAGCTGGTAAAAATGTGGAATTAAAGATTATATCTTAGATTATGCAAGAAAAGAATGATCCCTCAAAGTATATGAACTAGCCAGGTACAGTGGTGCAGCTACTCAGTAGGCAGGAGGATCACTTAAGCCTAGGATTTCGAGGTCAGCTACAAAGCAAAGTCCCACCTCAAACAAGGACTTTCAATATATTAGAAGCTCAAACAACTTTAGTGATTACGACCTTGAATAACATTTAGTGAATCTTCTAGGCCCAGAAGTGTGTATGAATGATGGGAGAAGATCCACACCAGAAAGCATTACCCTCTACCCGTTCTGTGCCAAACTACCACCTTTCATTTTCTTGCAGTGCTGAGGATCAAACCCAGGACCTTACACATGCCAGGAAAGTGCTCTACCACTGAGCTACATCCCCAGCTCATCACCAAGGGTTTTAATAAGATTTGGATTAATGAGTGAAGAAGCCTATTGGGATTATTATCTTTTAAGAAGCAAAATTCTGGAGAAAATGAGCTGTTCAGAAACTGTTTAAATCTTACTATACACTTCACAAAATTCTAATAAAAATGTATCCTAACTTTGATCACACAGACAGAAAGCGCCTGCAATTTTTTCAAATACCATAGTGTCACTCAAGGTAAAAAGCAAGGATTTTTACATTGTCGTTCTGATGTAAAACTAGGGCGCAAATGGCTGGCTGGTTCTAGGCTATGACTGCTGGGCATACTGTCCCTTTCCCAACAGATCCATCACAATTCATAAACAAGGCATTCTCTGTGTGCCATCCAGGTATACGAGTGGTACTTACCATGTAAGGTTTAGGATTTGATGCAGTCTGGTTAACCTGCCAGATACTCAGAAAACCCTCACCATCAGCAACACCACACTGTAATTAAGGTATAAATATTAAAAGTAAAAATCATTATGGAGAATTGCTCACAGCCCACTTAACAAGCATCCTGTCTCTGATGTAGTTCCTAAGAAAATCCAAGTACTATAGATTCTGTCACTTTGTCTTACCATACCCATTTCACTATTTTCCTCTAAATCTTTCCAGGGAAGTTGAGTGAGCAGTTACATTCCCTCGAGAACTTAACAGAAGCAGAGTTTTCTATTCTTTGGAGTTTTGGGTATCTTTTAAGTGGATAACTGATTAATCTACACTAAATTTTGTGGATTTATGCTTCTGTTGGAAGAAAAGAGACTATATAAATAGAATCCAACAAATTGCCTGCTCAGCTTTAATAATAATTTACTCCTCAATATCCACAATTGTTCTTGGCTGGGTTCACATTAACTCCCAAGAAGAACTAACCTTGTTGCCCTGTGAGTTAAAATACAATCTAGTAACACGTGCATTGCCAGCTTGGCGGAAGCAGACAAGCTGCTGAGGTCGTGTCCACTCAAACATTCGTACACTGCCATCCTGAGCACCTGTAAGATCTGAAACACATGAGGAAGAGCAGTCAGAAAGAATTAAAAGTCAAAATTAGAGTTGCTGTATTCTTTATAAATCAACCCCAAAATGATCAAGGACACTTAGAATGCATAGATCATAAATAAAATACTTACAGTATTGATGGACAGGGTGTGAGGTCATTCTTTTAACATTATGGAGATTCCTTTTCATAAGCTTTAAAAGAAGACACAATGAATGCATTTTGTGTATGTCCAAGAGGTAAGTAAGGATATGCTTCAGGGCAACTCTAATTCTGATGATTGCTAAGAGAAACTCTGATGGGTTGCAGAAGTATAGCCCTGGACTGTGCAGACTGAGAGGTTACAAGTAGTTTCATGAAGTAATGCAGGGAACTGTCCTCCAAGTGCCTCTCCCTGAGGACAATCAGGAGCATCTCCAGATTTATTTTATTTTATTTTATTTTATTTTATTTTTGGAGACAGGGTTTCACTTTGTAGACCTGTCTGGCATCAAAACTCATGCCTACCAAGTTCTGGGATTATAGGTGTGCACCACTATACCCAGCTCCTCTCTATAGTAGAATGTGAGAATTAATGTAAGGCACTTTCAAACATAGGTAGACATGAATTCCTCTTTGTGCCTCAGTTCGCTCATCTATAAAGTGATAATGAACAATAATAATAATGGCACTCATCAACTAGAGTTGCTGTGAGAGAAAGCATGCACCCACTCTGAGAAATACAATAAATGAAAACCACTATCATGGTATACCTACTGGTCCTCACCCCTGATCTTTAGGGTCATTCCCTAGGTCAAAATTATTTTGACTTACTTTTTCTGGGCATTTGCTCTCATCCAGAAACCTTATCTAAGAGTAAATAACATACCACACTAGCTCCAGTGCTGGTCTGTCCACTGCCCAGCCATGGCAGAGACGAAGGTGGATGCAGCTGACTTGCTGAGTGGGGTGCTGCACTGGGCTGATAAAGAGTTGTGGTGGAACCACGATAATCGATGTCATCTGAACTGTGGGAAATATTTGCATGTTACTCTGAATACTGTATTTTCTCTTAGTGCAAATTCCAATTAGAGTACCCATAACCACTCTTTACTTCAAAAATGTAATAAATATGCATTGAGAAAAACTTGGGTTAACTTCTTCCCTTTAAACAAAACACTAATTCGGTCTAAATATTATGTTTGGGGGTAAATTTATTGCTGCACAAATTGGAACAAATGTTAGTTTTAAAATGTTCTCTTCAAATACAAATAAATATTTATTTTGGCAGTACTGGGGTTTGAACTCAGGGCCTCAAGCTTGCTAAGAAGGCACTCCACCACTTAAGCCACTCAGCCAGTCCTTTTTTGTGCTGGGTATTTTCAAGATAGGGTCTCATGAACTATTGGCCCAGACTGGCTTCAAAATGAGATCCCTCTTATCTCTGCCTCACAAGTAGCAAGGATTACAGATGTGAGCCACTGGTGCCAGGCCAAATTATTTTTGAAAGAGAATCTCACAATATAGCTCAGGCTGTCCTCCAACTCTCAATCCTCATGCATGCTAGGCAAGTACACTAACACTGAGCCTCAAATTAAAGTACTAATTAATCTACTGTCACATAAAAATGTGGAAGATGGGGACTTATGGGTTCAGTTCTCAGGTCTTGAGAAAAAAAAACTGGAAGTAATTTTGATGGCAGAGAATATCATATTTACATGGTTATATCCACTGTAAAGTATTACACTAACAAAAAATTCAATGAAAATGAGAGAGATATCCTGGCACCGTTCCTAGGCACATAAAAATTTTGACCCTACAAAAGAGCAAGGAGAGCAAACATGTAGGAAACCCCAAAATAAAAGTGTTGCAAAATATTTTTGGTGCAATATCAACAGCTTTAATGAAAAGTTGTCTACATTTTTTTCTTTTTTTTTGCAGCACTGGGGTTTGAACTCAGGGCCTTCACCTTGAGCCACTCCACCAGCCCCATTTTTATGAAGGGTTTTTCTAGATAGGGTCTCGCGAACTATTTGCCAGGCTGGCTTCGAACCACGATCCTCCTGATCTCTACCTCCTGAGTAGCTAGGATTACAGGTGTGAGCCACCAACGCCCAGCTTGTCTACACTTTTATCTGTAAAAAAGATGCACTTCTCAGGCAGTGATTAAGAAACACTGTAAAAATTACTCAGTAAGTGTGACTCATCAATCAATATATTGTGTAATTCCTGACATTTCTTTGCGGGGGGAGAGGTCAATGTCAAAACAGCAGTTTTTAGCCATAGACTTTCATAGTGTTCTGATTCAAACACTATGAACAGTTCAATGAGTGATTTATTTATTAATGTAGGCAAAGCCTTTTCTTAGCAGCTAAACCAATTATGTTTATTTCTTACACATCTCTCAACCCAACAATTTAGTGGGTGCTTGCTGAAGAAAACTACATTTATAATTAGCTATGTGACACACCTTTTAGATTCTCTGTCATATTCTTCTCCAATCCATATATATGATTGACAGGCCAATAGAGAAGTGACATCAAGTTCTTGAACATCATGTGTGGAAGCCAAAACAATCTCATTACAGTTTGCCTGTAAAACAAAGGCACAGTAAAAACTGAAGCGATTTCACTGAAAACAAGTACTCTGTATAATGACAACGGTTCTTACCTTGTTAACAGAAAACGCCATGATCATGTCGGATTCCTTGTGAATGATCTTTGCCTTTCCTCCTGGATAGCCCAGATCAGCTTCAACCTACAAAACATTGCTGACTTTTAGTTTCTACAGCACAGCTCTACATAGAGATATGAATACCCCACAAAATTTAAAAGCTGGATAAGAAGAAAATGCAGCAGCATCAAGAAAAAGAGTCACTTTTAGCCACTGAAAATTAGTTTTGGAAAAACTGCTTGGATACAATAATGTGTGTTATCACCCCAATTATAAAGATTGTAAGACACTGTCACAAAAGATGGCTAATGTATTTTCTTTAGTCACTTATAACAGTAATATTTCCCTTTTAGCTCTTCCAAAGGTGCACAAATATTCTGCAATAAGAATGTGCATATGCTAACAGGCATAGAGTGGAGGAAAAAGTCACAGAAAGATAAGGGAACCACATAAGATGATGCACTTTAAAATAAGGGTAATGACATAGGAATAAGAAGTCGGAATGAAGGAGACTGAGGAGAGGTAGCTTAGGATTGAAAATAATGGGAAGGAAAGAAGAGGCAGAATCAAGAAGGCAAGATCAGTCAGTAGTGTTTAAGGACAGACTAGAAGAAGTGAAGAGGGAACAGGGAACAAGAAAGAGAAGCAGCAATGGCCAGGTACAGCCAGTTATTTAGTGAAGCATCTCCTACCCTACACTTTGAGATGATATGGGAGCAGTGAGTGCTCTGAATAGTAAGCCAGATAGGCAGTGGTGGTTAGTATTAGAGATGAGGAGTTAGCCCCTGGAGCTTTAAAGAATGAGCTGAACAGAAGAGCATGGAATACTACCTTGATGTGGTAATCTTCTGAAACGTAGTTGTGTTTGACCTGCTCCACATGTTCTTCTACAGACTAAGTAAACCACACGTCACAAACACAAAACATGCACGAAATGAAATCATAAAGAAAATGAAAAATTCAAGCTGGTCACCCAATCACTTAAAGATGCCAAAAATTAATATGAAAAAAATCAAGAAAAAAATAATCCAAATAAAACAAAATGTCATCAGATAAATGCAAAGCAAAAAAGAGCAAAATTAAAGTTACTGTGACAATTACATATACAAAGACACAAAAGCTATTTCAAAATAAAAATTATTTGTATACCATTTATGTAACTTTAAGTTCTTAAAATCAGCTGGGTGCCAAGGGCTCAAACCTATGATCCTAGCTACTCAGGAAGCAGAGATCAGGAAGATCGTGGTTTGGAGCCAGCCCTGGGAAACTGGTTTGAGAGACAGACCCTATTTTGAAAAAGCCCAACATGAAACAGGCCTGGCATTAATGTCTCAAGTGGTAGAACTCCTGCCCAGCAAGCAAGAAGCCCAGAGTTCAAACCTCAGTACCACACACAAAAAAAAGTTCTTAAAACCATAATCTCTTAAAAATAAAACCCACTTTGTTCCCCCACCCCAAGTTCTGGGAATTGAATCCAGGCAACCACGCTATCACTGAGCTACATTTCCAGCCCTTATTTGAGATAGGGTTTTGCTAAGTTGACAGGCTGGCTTTCAATTTATAAGCCTCCTGCCTTAGTCTCCTGAGTAGCTGGGACTATAGACAACAGTCATGAGGCCCAGCTTAAAACACTTTTAAGAGCAGATGCCAGCTAGGGTGTGACTCAAGTGGTAGAGCACCTGCCTGGAAAACAGGAGGCCCTGAGTTTAAACCCAAGTACCACCAAAAAAAATTTTTTTAAAAGAGCAGATGCATTCTATGTGATCAATATTTCTATCCTATAGGGGCTGACCTAAAATACAAATCAAAAAAATTTTTTTGAGATAGTGTCTCAGTAGCGCAGGCTGGATTTGAACTTCCAATTCTACTGCCTATGGTTACTGTATGCTGGGATTATAGGAGTGTACTATCACACCTAATTATTTATTGCACACACAGATTCAAAGTACTGATAATTACTTCACTCTTACTCAAAGAATTTTAATAAGCACATAATTTTTCTCTTAATCACAAGATTATTTTCCTTTATGTAAATGTTTGCTAGAATGAGGCATGGGAAAGAAATCATACAAATAACCTGGTCCTACAGGATGGCTATAATCAAAGTAATATTTCTGCTCTGTTGTGGAACCCTCAGGAGCTATGATCTGGACAAGTGACTCTTCCTCATAGCTCTTGCTGTGACTGCTTCCCTTTCAGCCTAAAGGGTCAAGCTGACTGATCCTGTCTGGAAGGCCCCTAGGGCTGCAGCAGCTGACAGTGAAGCATCCAAAAGAATTATTAAAAGTCCAATAGCAAATATTTTAAATGCCAATTTTCCCATGATTATATGGATTTATCAAGGGACTTATGTTGTTTCATTGCTACAAAATGAAAATTATAGGGTTTTATCCTAAAAGAAGTTCACTGAACTTACTAAACTTTGGCTATTACCCACAATATATGAAAGATAGTAAGTTCCAACCAGAAATAAAACTTCAAACTAAATTAAGTACTGACTTAATTAGAAATGTTAAAGAAAATTATAAAGAGAAATTACAACAGAAAATATTTTCCTCAAAATACCTCACTCTGCTTTCGTTTCTTAGTGAAAATATATCTAATAAATGTTTCTTGAAGGACTTCTTGTTTAACAAGGAAATGCCAAAGTCGTTTGACTGGAAGTGCAGAAGAATCCCGAGACCTATGAAAAACAATGAACGTATCACATGATTTCGGTCTATAGGAAATGAATTCCATATTTTCAGATACGTTGTTTTAAAACCTTCAAAATCTATTGCAGAGAAGGCAGTATTAAGCTCAAGAAAACTTTGTGAATTGTTTCACTTAATTTTGAGTTCTCCTAAAAATCATTCTTTCACTAGTAACAAATTTTCTAATTACACTGAGTGAACCGGATGAGCTGAGTATAAAATAAATCTCTCATTAGTCTCTTTCTAGATTACACTTTAAGTCAATGAACTCACATTCATTGCTTTTCATATTAATTATCAATGAATATAAAATTAGCTCCTAATCATGGCTAGCTACTTTAAAAAGCATGCCTCTAGGTACGTTTAAACATCATATGATAACCAATATGTACAATTGTTGTTTTATGTATTAGTTAAATTTTTTTTTAAAAAAAAGCATGCTGCTTATCAAAAAGAGCCAAGATGGGTAGGTAGACAATCAAAATACCAACAAAAACCCTTAATGTAATTGCTTCTGAGCCTTTTGGCTAAGATCAAGTGTAAACTCTTTATCTGTCTACTGCTAAATGACCCACAAAGTCAGTAACACCTTATTTGCATATTATTCAAAAAAATTGCTCCAAGAATTCTGAAAATGACAATACAAAAATATAGAATATAATTCAGAAATATAGATGATAATGTTATTTTTCTCTTGAAAATAAAATGTCTAGTCAATTAAAGATAATTCTGGAGCTGGTGGAGTGGCTCAAGAGGTAGAGTGTCTGCCTAGCAAGCATAAGGCCCTGAGTTCAACCACCCCCAGGACCACAAAAAAAAAAAAGAAAGAAAAAAGGTGGGGCGATAATTCTGAGAAAAATTATTTTCCATCCAGATTTCTGATGTTTTTCTTAGAAAATAGTTCTAAGACTGGATTACAGGTTCAAAGTTAGGAATGTTTTGAAGGCTATTGGCATATTTTGTCAAACTGGTTTCCAAAAAAATTAAACTGTACTCTCATTGGCATTCTAAAAGATTTCTTACTTGAATGGAGTATTTTCAGGTTCTAGCATTGCTTTATTTCGAAGAATAGCTGGTCCAGCTCCTACTGAAAGGTCAGCTGGATATGTGTTGACATAATTAGGGGGTGGACCTTCAAACTGATCCATTTTCTCTTGCAGGATCTGTTCCCAGTTCTCCAGGTTTTTAATTACACCAATGCCTAATGGTGATGTTACAGGCAGCTCTAAAAAGTAATAAAATATGTCATTTTATTTTGATAAAAATATTAACTATCATCCATATATTTACAAAACACAACCTGTTACAGTCAAGAATTCTGAAAATACAAATAGATACAAAAAAAACCCAATCTACCACCCTTTGGATTTTTAATGCTTCCAATAAAACAGAAGAATAGCTCTCTAAATGAGCTGAAGAAATGTCTAGCCTCCCCAGTCTGATTTTCTACTTTCAATCACTATCTTCTAGGTAGACAGTGACTCTTTCTAGGAATTAAAACCAGAATTAGAGCCTAAAATAAGCAAGACTTCATAAAATCTCCAATGCAGTATTTTTAAAGTGCCAAAAGGTATTTTTTATAGATTTTATAACATTAATTTAATGGCAATTTATTATATTTAATAACACTGCCTTTCAAATTCCAGACTTACCTGAGAATTCCAGTCCAGCAATGGGAAAGAAAGTCTTGATGTTATGAAGTACCAGCTTAACCATTGTCAAATGTAGAAGTGCCCAGCTGCTCAAGGGGGACAAAAACAGTCTCATTAACTGAAAAATAAAATCATAAGGTTTGGGGGCATAGCTCAAATAGAACACTTGCCTGGCATGCATGAAGCCCTGGGTTTATTCCCCAGTACTAAGGAAAAGAAAAGGAAAAAATTACAGGAAAAGTAATGTTCCCTATCAATTGTTCAGCTCAATCTCCAACCCAGAAAAAAAAGCTGCCACTGACTTTTGCTATACAAAATGGCTCCTTTGTAGTCTTTGAAAAATAAGAGATGTAACAATAGATCACACTTGCACTATCTGAAAATTACCTAGTAGAAAAATATTTATCACAGTCACATAAATTACATGGCTTTTTTCTCATTAAAAAAAATGTGTTTATCATCTGAGTGAAAGCTATTCTTTGAAACTAGATGTGAAGGAAATATTCTGCTTCTTTCTAGAAATTTACCTCAAAGGTAAGGAATTCCTAAATGGAAAATGTAAGTCAGTTCTTACATAAATTCACAATAGCCATATCATTTAAAATTAGTAACACCAGGTTATCCTATAAAAGAAAGTCAAAAAAGAAAAAAAACCTTCCTTACCTATAGGAATTTGGATCCTGGTGCTCCTGTATTTGTGTGTCTGAAAAAAAGGCACTGTCATCTTCGTCATCACTATGAACACTTTCATCAGAATCATATATAACACCACTATCAGACAAGGGAAGAAATGGCTGCAATGAAAGGTAAAGATATCTTTAAATATGTAATTTTATAAATATATTAAATGTAAATTAAATACATACCTTATACAATATATGTGATACATTTTCAAAATAGTCTTGTCAGTGTATATTAATTGGACAAAATGGCTTCCCTTAATTATACTTTCAAACATATATACAATGAACTTTGATAATATCCACCTCCTCCTATTATTCTCCTTCCTCTTCACAAATGTCCCCCTTCTACTTTATCTTTTTTTGGTGTGTCTTTTATTTGTTAATTCTATTTTTAGTTTTTGAGGAAGCTCCAAATTGATTTCCATAGTGGCTGAACTGCTTTACATTCCCACCACGGCCCTGCATCCTCATCAGCATTCGTCGTTTTCTTGACAATAACCATTCAGACTGCAGTGAGATGGAATCTCAATGTAGCTTTGATTTGCACTGCCCTGATGACTAAGGATGTTGAACATTTTTTCATGTATTTATTGGCTATTTGTCCTGAATGAATCTGCCAGTTCATTTGCCCATTTATTGATTGGAGTACCTGTTATTTTACTATTTAATTTTTTTGAGTTTTTTTAATGTATTGCAAATGTTAATCCCCTGTTAGATGAATAGCTGGCAAAGATTTTCTCTCATTCTGTAAATGTCTCTTCACTCTGGTAATTGTTTCCTTTGATATACAGAAGCTTTTTAATTTGATGCAATCCCATTTCGCAGTCCTTGCTATTATTTCCTAAGCTACAGGAGTCTTTTAAAATATATTTTTTGTTCAAACTTACAATTGAGTATGTTAAAAGTTTTCTTTTGCAGATGATACTAGATTTACAAAATGACTATCATAGGGTAAAACTCCAGATTTAATAAAATATTGACTAGCTAGACCCAACACAGATAATTCAACATTCTTTCATGATAAAAGCTCTGGTGAAATAGCAATAGAAGGAATGTACCTCAACATAATAAAGGCTATATATGACAAACCATAGACAACATCATACTCAACCGGGAAAAACTGAAACCATTTCCCCTAAGGTCAGGAATGAGAGAAGGGTGCCCACTCTCCCCACTCCTATTCAACATAGTCTTGCAATTCCTAGCCAGAGCAATAAGACAGGAAGAAGAAATAAAAAGAATATAAATAGGTAAGGAAGAAGTCAAACTATCCCTGTTTGCAGATGACATAATTTTATACCTAAAAGACTCAAAAAACTCCACCAAAAAAATTCCTAGACACCATAAACAGCTTTGGCAAAGTAGCAGGATACAAAATTAATACACAAAACTCATTAGCTTTTTTTATACACCAACAATGAACAGATTGAGAAAGAATATAGGAAAATAATTCCATTTACAAGTCTTTAAAAAAAATCAAATACTTAGGAATAAACTTCACAAGGGATTTAAATGACCTCTACAAGGAAAACTACAAACCACTGAAGAAACCAAAGAAGACTACAGAAGATGGAAAGATTGTAAGATCTCCTAAGATCACAAATTGGCAGAATCAACATAGTAAAACTGGTTATACTACCAAAAGCAATCTGCATGTTCAATGCAGTTCCCATCAAAATCCCAATGACATTCATCACAGAAAGTGAAAAATCAACCCTAAAGTTCACTTGGAAACTTAAAAGATCGCAAATGGCCAAGGTAATACTGAGCAAAAAGAACAATGCTGGAGGCATCACAATACCTGACTTCAAACTATATTACAGAGCCATAGCAATAAAAGCAGCATGGTACTGGCACAAAAACAGATATGAAGACTAGTGGAACAGAAAAGAGGACCCAAATATGAATCCACACAGCTATGCCCACCTTATTTTTGACAAAGGCACCAAAAACATACAATGGAGAAGAGACAGCCTCTTCAAAAAATATTGCTGGGAAAACTGAGTATCTGCCTGCAGAAAACTGAAACTGGATCCATGTTTGTCACCCTGTACAAATATCAACTAAAAGTGGCTTAAGGACATTAATATCAGACCTGAAACCATGAAGCTAGCACAGGACAGAGCAGGGAATACACTGGAAGTAATAGGTATAGGCAAGGACTTCCTCAGTAGAACTCAAACAGCTCAGCAACTAAGAGAAAGGATGGATAAATAGAACTACATGAAATTAAAAAGCTTCTGCACAACAAAAGAAATGGTCTCTAAATTGAAAAGGCCACCCACAGAATGGCAGAAAATCTTTGCCAGCTATATATCAGACAAGGGACTGATAACCAGAATGAATATACAGGGGAGCTCAAAAAACTAAACTCCCAAAAAATCAATGAAGAAGTGGGCAACTGAACTAAACAAAGCCTTTTCAAAAGAAGAAGTCCAAATGGCTAAAAACACATGTGAAAAAATGCTCACCATCCCTGGCCACAATGGAAATGCAAATCAAAACAATGTTAAGATTCCACCTCACTCCTATTAGAATAGCTACCATCAAGAACACTACAACCAACACATGTTGGTGAGGATTTGGGAAAAAGGAACCCTCATACCCTGGTGGTGGGAATGTAAGCTAGTACAACCACTATGGAAAACAGTATGGAGGCTCTTTAAAAATAGATCTGCCATACAATTCAGCAATACCACTCCTAGGGATACACCCAAGGGAATGTTAAGTCAGCTTACAACAAAGGCACTGCATACCCATGTTTACTGCAACATTATTCACGATAGCCAAGCTATGGAAACTGCCAAGATGCTCCACTACTGACAAATGGATTAAGAAAATATGATATTTATACACAATGGAATTTTATTCAGCCACAAAGAAGAATGAAATTTTGTCATTCATGGGTAAGTGGAAGGAACTGGAGAACATCACCTTAAGTGAAGTTAGTTAGGCTCAGAAGGCCAAAAGCTGCATGTTCTCCCTCATATGTGAATTACAGACCTAAAACAAATGCAGCAATATTTTGGGACATGGGTCACACTAATGGGAGGCCAAGCACAGGAGGGATAGGGCAAGGAAAGGAAACTAAAAACTTGAATGTAGTTGATGTGCTCACTGTACAGAAATGAATACAGAAATCTTAAACTGGTTGGGGCCACCATGAGAAGGGGACTAGGAAGGAGTGAAGAGAATTACAGGAGATGAACCAATTGGGGGTTGTAATACACATATGCATGGAAACAACACAAGGAATCTCCTGTGTAGCTACCTTTATCTCAAACTACCAAAAACGTCATTGGAGAACAGGAGGGCAGAACAGGGTCTTGGTTGGGGAGGCACTAGTGGGAGGGGGAGGTGGTG